CGCCCCCTATGCCGTCCAGCATCATAACGGACGTACGATCGAGCGGGGTCGATGCGTCTTTATTTTATTATTTTTTTCTTTTTCCGGAACATTGATTTTCGAAGGCAGCGCGTACCAGCGCCGTACCCGGTGCGGAAGGAAAATCGCGAAGGGGAGCGCAATGCGCTTTGGAGTTTTGACGAAGCCTCGAGAGAGCGCCTCGCACGTTGCTATGTGCTCTGACTGGACGTGAGTTACGCACACGCGTGCTATTGGCTTATGTATACCGATATACGGTGTCTTAAGGATATACTTAGGTGGAACGTGTGTATATAGGATTATATGTGCACGTATAAAGCCCAACGTGTTACTCACTAGGCATCCAAGACTTAGGAAGGTAGATACGCGCTGAATATAACTTCTCTATGGTTTTGGACATCAGGCTCAGTTATACATATACCGCAAGTTGAAGTTCTGCGTGACTTTTTTTTACGTGTTTCCTGCCGTCTCTTTGACGCCCAAGAATTTCTTGCCTTGCTACTGGAGATACGCTTCGTTCCATGCAACGTGTCTCAGGATATCATTCAGAATTTTATTTGATACCTATTTTATGTGATACCTATTACGAACGAGTGTCTTAATATTTTATGTACAATTATGATGATAAAGAGGTAGGAAGGAGTAAATTTGTTTTAAAGATAAAACATTATGAAATTTCCACCCCTAGTCAACCCCCGGGTGAAGTGTGGTTAGTAACCCCGCGTAAGAACGATGAAGTAGGTGTAGCTTCTGGTAAGAAACTTTTGTACAGCGTATCTAGGACTTTGACGTGTAACGCGTGGTACGTTGGTACCTCGGTGTATCGAGACACGTGTCTCTCCACAGTCTCCGATAATCTTTTTCCCTCTAGGCGTTATCCGGGAATCCCTATCATTTTTCCGAATTGTCGTTTTTCCAAAAATTCACATTCTCGATCAACTAACTTCACGCGCCTCCGGAAAGTCCTGCGTATTTGGGAAGTTGACTTTTCGGAAAAATAAAGTTGCGAGAAGTTAGCTATTGGGAAATATGAATTTTCGAAAAAAAAAGACAGTTTGGAAGTTTAATCATTCGGTAAAATGATAGAGACCCGTTATCGGGCTCTGTTTGCCTCTTTCTGTCCCGTTGTCGCTGTCCTGCATCGTGCGGGAGGACGAGAGAGGGCCTTACGCTTCGCTATGTGGATCAAAGAGGGACGAGGCTAGCCCCACCGTTAGAGAAGAAGGCACGCATGGCGATTACACTGGCATGAAGGGGGACGGCGATAGCTGTTATTTTTATAGTGTTACGCTAGGTTAGTCTCGCGTCCGACCAACCAACGTTCCAGGCCTAACCTATACCGACGTTGGGCTTGCAAGGCTGTGCATTTATAATGCACGCAAAATTTCATGCAGAGGCGCTTCGGCTGCTTTCCAATCCTTTGATAACGCTAGTTCTATATTTAAAAATGGCCGGCTTCCACTGGCTCGTTATAAGCGACGCCTTCTCGATACTTCCGGGCACTTCCGGATACTTCCGGAAGAGCGGATGGTAGTAACCCCATCGTTTATGGGTTGCACCGCGCCCGAGGGCTGACCAGACAAAGTGACGTGTCCAAAGAAAAACAACGATATATCACGTCTAATTAACCTGCTTGTTCGAATCTTATATGGCACACTTTTTCCTTTTACTCAAGATGATTTACAGCGTCAGCGTAATGTATGTAAGATAAGAACGATAAGGGCTGCAATGTATTTTCGTTATTTATCAAGGTGACGAGTGGCGAAACTCCCTGGACGTAATTACAAGGCGGATGCAATGAGAGAGTCGGAGGAGGGGAGATTCGGAAGTGGACGAAGGACTGTAAAAAACGAAAATAAAAAATAAGCGGAAGCAGTGGAAGAAGGTAAAAATAAGAAAAAATAAGAAAAATAAATTTCATTATTATAAATATGTATATATATTGTAACGTAATTCTTTTCCTTGACCCGACACCGATAGCAAAACATACGAGAACGACTATCTTCGAGAACCAACCTGCGTTGCCTTCGGCCGTCCACCCGTCGTTCGTGCATCCGCAAGCCAGGCGGCCGCCAGCCAATTCTTTTT